ACAAAAAGATGGATGCCCTTTAGTATCGAGACTTCATGAAAACAACCTGCCTGCGAGTCTTGTCGTAAATATTCGGGACATCTTGCCCCCTTTTGATATGCGGTAGGACTTCCATTTCCTAGTATCCCCAAAGGACACCCATTAAATGCGCTCAATACACTCGTACTATAATCCTGAACTTGCGCCAAAGACGGGGGAGGGGACGACAGCTCTGCCCCGAAAGGGACTGCAACTGAGGGTATGGGGCTTGTATGGTTGAAGGGGAGTAATGGCGTGTGAGGGCTGCGGTGGTTTATCCACACTCTCAAGAGAAACCAAACAGACTCTGGAAACCTGCAACTCAAGACCGGTCTGAAAGAAGGAGGCCCTCCGCACCGTGAGAGTAGATCTACTTACAGAAAAAGCTGCCCCAGCACATGAATGAATCAACCGTCAACATCGGGCCACTTCTCTGGAAAACGTCGCCCGGATTTGCCCGAACGCTCCCTGACGCGCGGGGACCACAACGACCCGCGCATCAGGAGCATCAGCGATTTCGTTTCTCTGCCGGGCCGCCGAAAACTGCTCAAAAAACTGCTCCAGCGAGCACAGCCCCAAAAACCAGCACCAGCCCGTGATTTTTTGCCGTCAAAAGTTGGGGTTCCCCCCACCCCCCACAACTGACAAACCCCCTACAGATCAGCTTACGCTGGGGTATTAAACGAAATGCGCCCCTCAAGCTTGAGGGAGGAGCTTTCGTAGAATGCATGACGCCATCGTTTCTTCCGTAGATCACTGCAGGAACCTACTTGGAGGTTCATGGGCCCTTATAACCCCGATTATAAGTATACGTATAACCTACTTAGAGGACTTAGGGGACTTAGGGGGCATATAATCAGAAGTACGGATACAATTGGGGTTATAAGTACCCCTGAACCTCCAAGTCAAAGCGCTCGAGCATTCCGGGGCAGGCACTGGCTCCTGGAACTCCAGGCCGCCACTGCTGGCCTCAAGAGTTTCGAAAATGTGGGGTGTTTAGGGTTTAGGGTTTAGGGTTTAGGGCTTAGGGTTTAGGGCCTCTAGGGACCATAGGGTTTAGTTTGCCTTGTGGGGATTAGGGTCGGGGAATTCTATATATATATATATGTGAGTATATATATAACACTACATATAAGAAAGGCCAATCAACAGAATGAACGCCAAAGCCATTGCCAGCCCATTCGCTGGTCTCTAGTCTTTAGATCGCTCAGTGCAACGTTGTCCCTTTTTCTCTGCCGCGGCTGAGGTTGAAAGATGTCTCATGCGTGGTACTGTACTCTTTGGCCCTTAGCTCACCATGGACTTCCCACCAAGACTGGCTGGCAGAAGCGTGTATGCCAGCATCGCAAACAATCCCAAACTGTGCTGGGAACCGAACGCTTGACTTGGGAAGCACAGAGTGAGCACAAGCAGGGCACAACGGCTTGCATGCTGCGTGCTGCAAGAAAGAAGTTGTGTGAACAACTTAAACATGGTAGCAGCCCACGAGCTACGAAGAACACTGCTGTGTGACTTTCTTTTCCTGTGCCAACTTCTTCCCAAGTACTCTCACGACCTCCCGGGCGTGACACGAGAGCTGTGTCGGCCTGCAACAGAAGGACAAGACAGCTACAAGTATACACCCGGCTCGCATGGCTTTCGAGCTAAGGCTCTTGAAGCTGGAAGATGCCGGAGAGCATTGGAGAAAAGAATATGCAGAGTGGGTCAGCCGTGATGCCATATTTTCGGTGACCCCTCTTCACGAAACCATGGTTGCGTTATCCTAGGAATAGAGCCCTTGATGTTCACAACCTCAAAGATCTGGGGGCTGTATGCCCTTGCAAAGCCCCTACCTTACGCCAACCCTAAAAAAATCCAACATCCCTGCATCCAAGAGCCCAAGATGTCCCGAAACCCGACATCCTGACCCCAGGTTTCAAATCGACAAATCTCGGTGCCTCCACTGCTTTCGCCACGGCTCCTCCCACAGCAACAGGGCACTTTATCGGTCGCTTGGGCTTCGCACATGTCGAGAACGAAGCAACACATGCGACCCGAATCCAGATATCCACTGCTGTGAGCAACATCGATATCGAGCATGCCAATCGATCACGCCTGCTGCATCAGCTTAGCAGCTTCCCAAAAAACTTATGTAAGACCCTAAACCCTAAACCCTAAACCCTAAACCACCAAAATCCCAACGCCCAAGCTCTGTGTCTTGGAGCCTCAGCCCCTCAAGCCCTAAAGTAGACCTAGGCCTTCTAAACCCTAAAGCCCCTAACACCCTAAGCCCCCCCAAACCCGTAACCCCTGTTTGGCTGAAGTTTGAGGGCTCAGGTTTGCCTATACTTGGCGATGTGGCCCTGATGCCCATACTGGGTGTTTGCGGGGTTCAGGGCCTATATACAGGGTTTAGGGTTTAGGGAGGCTGTAGGGCGTAGGGTTGAGCCCGATTTCTGGGTCTGGCCACTCCCCTGCGCCCTACGAACACTCCACATTCGCTCTCCAACAGCGAAGCTCTGCTTGCCTTGAGGAGGCTGGCATCGCAGCAATCTGGCTTCTCCTGGCGTACGGAATCTGCACTCGCATCCCGCGGCACCCTTGTGCGTTCAACTCCGTGCGCTTGTCTCGATTTTGCCTTGTTTTCTTCCCGTTTAGAGTCTTGGTTGTCCTCTTCTCTTTGCGTGTAAGACAACCGGGCACAAATGCCCAAAGCGATTCTGAAGCCAGCGGTTGCGAATGCCAAGCCTTCCCTAATGTCAGCAAAGCAGCCCAGAATGCGGAGCACGGACGCTTGGCTGTGTGCCTTTGCTTGGCCAGCATCCAAGAAGAATTGCATGGACCAAAGGGTTCCACGTGTCTCTACATGGGGATGGCTCTGAGCTGCAGGCAAAACTCAGCCAACTGCCATGTCAGTGTCTTGTGCAGTGATCTGCGTAATTTCCAGTTGGGGTTCGCTAAGAGCTCATCAAACGGACAACCACACGAGCAGAATCCGACGACAACATCTCTCTCAGCATGCGCCACATCATCGTCGAGTCACTCTCCACATTCTGTAGATCCACCTTCCTCGGAACAGGAAGCTTCCTAAACCCGCAGTCAACCAAGCCAAAATGCCACATTGGTTGTAGCTGGCGCGGAGCTTGGGAAGCGGTGTGAGGGTCTGCCCTGAATCTACCAGGATGGGCTATTAGGCCCTACAATCCCCATCATCAACGCTATAAAGGGCCTTTTTAAGGGGTTGCAGGGTATAATACTAACCCAAACCCTAATCCCTAAACCCTAAACCCTAAACCCTAAACCCTAAACCCTAAACCCTAAACCCTAACCCTAAACCTAAACCCTAAACCCTAAACCCTAAACCCTAAACCCTAAACCCTAAACCCTAAACCCTAAACCCTAAACCCTAGCCCATGCTGGTAAGGGGGGTTCAGGTTTGGCACGCGAGGCTCTACTTGGACTATGATTAGAGTCTCGCCTAGGACCGCAAGTGAAGGAGACCCGCGAGTCCAGAACTCCATGTCAAAGACTGGAAACCTTCAAGTTGAGGACTACTAGGAATGAAAAATCTCTAGGACAAGGATTTAGAGGTTGGTGATGATCATATGATTGTTATTCTCATCTTGTCTATTTATTGTTTTATTTTATTTGTTTTTTTTTTTGGGGGGGGGGGGGGGGGGGGGGGGGGGGGGGGGGGAGGGGGCGGGGGTGTGGTGGGACGGAGGCCTTGGGTGTCTTCTGGACGATGTGCTGCCGTGTCTCGCAGAGTCCCGCAACTCGTCGGACAACAGGACGGGATTCCCACTTGCCGTCCTGGCGTGGGGGTGAGCACCCACTTGCCCCGTGAAATCATTGTGCATGCTTTTTGCCAGCGCTCTGTGACGGAGCCAGCAGAACAGGATGCAACGGTGCACAGAGCACCATCAGGTACTGAAAAAGATAGAACAAGTTGAAGTTGCTCACAGTAAGCTATCCATCTCAGCCTCTCTGCAGCATGCCAGTGCTGATGATGCCCAACACCGAACAAACCAACATCATATCATAGCAAACGCCGGCCTCTTTGCGAACATCTCTGCTTGGCTGGAGTCCACTACCTTTGAACCTAGGTGCGAGAGTGGATATTCTACAAGGAACCTATCATATTGGTGTATTATTGTATTCTTCTAAGACCTGTTAACAAAATCGAATATGAGTCTATTCTTCTTATATCATGAGAATATTAATATAACATATTATACTGAATTGTAGTATAGTCTTAGCTTATGATATGCTTATAGTACTATGTATGTATCTATATATATATATATATATATATATATAGATACATATATCTATTCTCATGCTATTTTGTCATATATCCATGGATAACAGGAGCAAATTCGAGGCCCTCGCGCATGTCAAGCGACGGAGCTCAGAAACCGGAAACCCTAAACTTCTGAGCATATCCTAATCCCTGTTCCCCGCCATGGAGCGTTTACCTCCAGCAGGGCTTTCCTTAGCCGGCAGCACACGCTGAAGTTGCTTTGGGAACGCAGCGAGAAGCTGCGGGGTCTATGAAGAGTGTGAAGGGACGCCCATGGATAAAGAGATCGTCCTTGCTGGTAAGAGAGGCTTTGCGTCGTCGGGGGTCAGGTTTTTGCGCTTACAGTCGCATCAAGCTGTTGTCGTCGAAATGTGTTAATCTGCTGCTTCGTTGCGGAAGACCCTGCTGTTGCTGCAAAGACACCGAGTTCACCAAAACAAACAATACCGCACCGGTGCGGTGGGTTGACCCAAGCAACTGGCATCACCATGTTGCATGGGCGAACTGCATGAGACAATTCCTTAAACTGGCTACTGTCGCCATTTCACTGTGCTAAGCCGTTTGCAACTCTGGGACTACAACCGTTGCCATACCAGCAGCTACAACCCTAAACCCTAAACCCTAAACCCTAAACCCTAAACTTCTCGGGGCCGATGGAGGGTGGGGAGTTTGGTCTTTCCGAGTCCAGGCTTTGTGCGGCTGAAGCTCAACGGGCTGCAAGTAGCACATGGCATATGCAACGCCGGCCGCCAGAGTGCAGATACAGGCAGCCAAAGCAGAGATGGCTACTGGAACAATCCTGAGCAAAGGTTGGCACAGGTTGGGACACGTGCACAAGGTCAGTAGGAAGGCAAATTACTCCACGTGGCAGGGGAAGCGTCATGACTCAACAACGGCAAGGTAAGTGTCGCCGTCAGCCATCACGGCAGAAGATGCCCAGACAGCATCATATAAGACCATAAACTGTACTCACATACTAATGATTATACAATCATATAAGAATATACTATTAATATACAATATACTATACTAAGATAGTAATATACGCGCGAAGCCCAGTCTCCATGTCATCTCCCCACCCGTGGTCGCCGGCGCTGGCGACCCTTCTGTGGTCGGGTCGACATACTGGGTCGGCCTTCCGTGTGGAGGGATTGCTTGTTTTTTTGCTGACCCAGGCTTCAACACACCATCGCGGGGTTTACTCTGGGCTCCTGTGAGCGGACGTGGGGCAAAACGACCCCTGAACGTTTAGGGTCTAGGGGTTTATGGGGTTTAGGGGGAGTTCAGGAGGTCTAGGGGGTTTAGGGGGGGTTCAGGGCGTTTGGAGGGTTAAGGGTCATCTCCCCTGGCCTAGTGGTGCTTGCCCCAGATGGGCTCGGGCTCGGGCTCGGCAGTGGCGACCAGGGCTCATTGTCCTTCAGGTTCTTGGCAATGGCTCGTGTGGCCGGCTCTTTGAAGTTCCGGGTCCCTTGTGAGTGGTTTGATAAAGGAATGCCGGTTCAACTAGGGCTGCACACCTCGTAAGCATGGGGGGCTCTAGAAGCCTTAGAAGCTCAGGTGTTGGGTCTTGGTGCCAAGTTCATCTTGCCAGAAGGCTTAGGGATGGCAAGTGGATGAAACCACCGGCACTGACAGCATGCCACCTGAAACACTCCGGGTAAGGAAGCTGGCAGGGAGGTGATGGTGAAAGCGGGTGGCCATCCCACCAGAATCCCAAGGGTTCCCGTATGCAGCTCCATGACTCCCCAGGAGTTGAAAGTAGCAAAGCTGAGCTGTGAGTCACACAGGTTTTTGATCCATCAAGCCGGGAGAGTCCCCAACCTGCCAATCTCGAAGGCCTCAAGAACATCCCTGAACCCGAAACCCTAAACCCTAAACCCGAAACCCTAAACCCTAAATCCTAAATCCTAAACCCTAACCGAAGGATCCCTAAAGCTATCAGATGGATTTTCAGATCCTGGAGGGGCTTTGCCGCCTGGACCGTCGGCACCACGCTCGAACCTGTGCAAGAGAGAATCGACACTCGGCCGATGGAGTCTGAGGAGGGGTGGGGCATGTAAAGCGGATAAGGGCCACCTACCTAAACCCTGAACACCCTTCTTCATCCTGCCCCCGAAACCCCACTAACCGATGGTGTCGGCTCAGAATCCATGGTCCCTTCACCTCTGCGCGTCCATCGTTTTCGCAGGAACATCTCTGACTCTCCAGCAAAAACGTGGTGTTTGACCCCCCCCCCCCCCCCCCCCCCCCCCCCCCCCCCCCCTGCCCTTCCCTCCATCCTTCCACACGAGCCCCTTCTGGAAATTGCATGGACTCTCAAGGACCATGGACTCCACGATGAATTCCCACGGACAGGCCCACTAGTTCACCCACTGTGGCCCCTTATCCCCCTACGGAGCCCCGTGCGGAATCCTTGATGCCCGCATACGCCAGCACATTTCCGCTCCAGCCATTGAAGCTTACAGCGATAGAGATCGAGCTGCCCCCGCCGCGCTAGCATTCACATTCTTTGCACATAGGCAGTGCAATCCTCAATCTGGCTCGGTGGAAAAACTAAGCTTCTTGCTGATCGGTCGTTGATGCAGGACGCTCTCCAAACCGGATCCGGCCTCCAGACACCAGCTCCCGCTCAAGCTCCTGTTGGAAAGTTGACGAAGTGCTGCCTCGGGAAGGGAGCGGCTCCCAAGAAGATCATCCCCTGTACCCTGAATACCTTGAGCCCTATGGACTCTTAACAAGGCGCACAATCTTCCATTGGAAGACAAGTGTCTCTGAGGCAAACCCAGCTCGCCGACTCTCTGAGCTATGGCCCGGCTCTGCGACTGACACATCACGAAGCAGTTGAAACTGCAAGAACAACTAGAACCTAGGAACAAAAAGGGTGCCCTTTTCGATCTAAAAAGGGCCTTATAAAGGGGAATAAAAGACTACTCTGGGTCCTAGACAAGTGTGCAGAAAGGCCGAAGGAGTCAGCATGGACAGGAAGCTGTCTCACACAATCGTCTCGAGACATTGCAGGAACAGGAATGCAAAAAACTCTTGCTCTCCGATGCCAATGTTGGCACATGTGTCTGTGTGTGAGAAAGCTTGGGAGCACTGGGCAGCACTGTGTGCGTGTGTGTGTCCAACCCAGGTTTCGGCGTACACGTTGCAGTGACTTCCTGTGCTCGAACTTGTCTAGAATCCGCCCGCCCACGCCCTAGTTCCACAACCACACCTTAAACCCCAAACCACATCTCTACACCCCAAACCCCAAGCCCTACAACCCCAAACCCTAAACCCTAAACCCTAAACCCTAAACCCTAAACCCTAAACCCTAAACCCTAAACCCTAAACCCTAAACCCTAAACCCCAAGCCCTACAAACTCCGCAGGAGGGCCTGGCTTGAAGATGTCACCTCGAAGCGCACGCGCACGAGCCACTGCCCAGCCAGGCGGCGCCCGGCGCCCGCATCACCTCTGCAGCTGGTTGTTTAGGGTAAATAGGGTTTAGGGCTTTAGGGTTTAGGGTTTAGGGTTTTAGGGTTTTAGGGTTTTTAGGGTTTAAGGTTTGAGGGTTTTTAGGGTTTGAGGGTTTGAGGGTTTGAGGGTTTGAGGGTTTGAGGGTTCTAGGGTTCTAGGGTTCTAGGGTTCTAGGGTTCTAGGGTTCTAGGGTTCTAGGGTTCTAGGGTTTTAGGGTTTTAGGGTTTTAGGGTTTTAGGGTTTTAGGGTTTTAGGGTTTCAGGGTTTCAGGGTTCTAGGGTTTTAGGGTTTTAGGGTTTTAGGTTTTTAGGGTTTTAGGGTTTTAGGGTTTTGGGGGTTAGGGTTGTATTGGAGGGCTCAGACACGAGCTTGTCAACAAAGATGACCGGTGACTTCTTGTCAGTAGTTTGTATTGAGGGCATACATGGGACCTGATTTGGTCAGCAATTCGCGATCTCCCGAGCAAAACCTAGTCGCTTCTTCCTTATGATTTACTGATACTCGATTTACTGATACTTGGTTCTTACAAGGTCTTTCAAGAGAACATGAAGAAGGTAGATCATGGCATATGTTGTACCCCGGCTATATCACGGTACACCAGCCAAGGCCCTCGAGCCTTGAAAATACACGTCCATGCCCAGAATGACGAGCTGGTCGGTGAGGCTGAGCCTGATTTGAGACGTTCTCATGCTTGTACAATGCGCGAGAAGCGGTCACAGGGCCTGAAAATTTGTGCAATTTGGTGAGCATGCAGCATAATTAGGCTGAGTTGCCCTAATGCCAGCCTCAGGGAAGAAACCAACGCTCTGGTTGCCGTCGGGAGTGTCAAGGCTTCAGCATCTTCTCTTGAAGAAGTGCTAAGCGAAAGCTCTGTTCGCACTGGGCCCGTGGGTGTGTAATCCACGAGCCATGGGGGCACTGTGGGAGGTTGAGTGGTTGTAGGCTCAGTTGTGGTCGTCTCGGTTGTTGGCGTTGTGGGTGGCGCTGGAGTCGCCGACGTCGTGTAAACAAGTGGCGGACGTGTGGTGGGAGGCTCTGTCTGACCTCCACGATGTGTCGTTGCTGCTGGTCGCGTGGTGAAATAATCGACCGGCGGGGTGTTTTGTGCTGCTGTTGTGGTTGGTGGACGTGTAGTGGGAGGTGGAGTTGGTGCTTGGGTCGTTGGGGTCGGTGTGCTCGATGTTGACTGTGTGGTGTGGCCGGGGACCCATATCTTGAAATCGCTTGTAATGGCGTTGCCCCATGGATCCATGACCAGGCAGCGAAGGGTGTATTCTTTCGCAGGCCGCAGCTGCCCAAATACCAGATACACCGGGTACTCGTTCGACCAGCTCGTCTGCGCGCATCTGGGATAGTGACAAGCTTCACCTCAAGGCTTCTGGGCTCACATGGGGGTTTTAGGGGGTGACCTTGTTGGGGTCCCGATTACAAGGGGAATCTACTATATCTGGTGGTTTATCTTGATTCTCCCTTATTTTGTAAACCCACATATGCCAAGATGTAACTTTTGAAGCTGAGTGAGCTTGCGGCTTCATGGGGGGCACGAAAATCTCAAAAGAAGGCGGCAAGGTAGTGGCTAGCATCACGCGTCTTCTCGTCTGACCACAGATTTTACAGTAATATACTAATATATCAATGTATCAAAATATTAACATAAAGAGATAGTACTATCATAACTTAATAATGCATGAAAAATGTTCATGTATAAATATACTAACAGCAATATAAGCTTATTCCGCGTTTACGACAGTGAGGGTCCCCTAAAGTAAACCCCGACATAGTCGGGTTCCCATGTAATGAAGGAGCCCAAAAAGGTGCCCCTGATTTCGGAAACCCCCTAAACCCTAAACCCTAAACCCTAAACCCTAAACCCTAAACCCTAAACCCTAAACCCTAAACCCCCAAAAGATGGCTCCTTTTTAAAGCTCTGTTTGCTTTACTTCGGGCCGGCCTGGAGCTTGCACCAGCCACGACAGGTCCTCCTCGACGACGTGGCAGCGCACCATGCAAGTCGCAACTCCACCCAAACGATGGCTGCAACTGCCATCTCCTCGTGGAAAAAAGGGTTTTTTTTAAACAGAAGAGGGTTTAAAAAAAGAGTGTGTTTAAAAACCCTGTTCTGCAACTGCCATCTCCTCATGAAAAAAAGAGGGGTGCCTGGGGGAACGTTTAGGGTTTTTTTTGACGTTAAAAAAAAACCGAGCTGCCATCTCCTGAGAAAAACGGGGCGACTGGGGAACCTTAGGCTATACTCCCCTCAGAACCTTATCAAACAAACCTGGGTTACCCCCCCCCCCCCGCCCCCCAACCCTTTAACCCAAGGGTGGCCGCAGTGAAGACGAAAAAGGCGCTTCTTGGGGGAACTTGAGGGCTTCGGACAGGTTTGAGGGGACAATGAAAAAATGTCGGAATGAAGAAATAGAGAGTGTAAGATCTGTGGTTTGCAGTTTTTGGTTGAAAGCCAGAATTTGGCTTCAGTCGAGCCACGGAGTTCCATTTGCCAGGTAACTCGCTCCGTGGTGCCCGTCAAGAAACCTGTCCAGCAGCTATCATGCCTCTGATACTGCTTAGGACTGTGTTATCCTAAACCCTCAACCCTAGACCCCCAAACAACCTACACTAAGAAGATGATAGCCAGAATGGTTATGATGACGATGATGATGATCCCGGCAGACGTCCTCAGGTACAGCGACATGCATCGTTCGCAGGTGGTTGCTTTGAACTGCCATGATCGGTGAAGTTAATTCATGTTGTGCTACACTATTGTTGGCTGAAACTCGTACCACTCTCCATCACCAGGTATAGTATGTCACATTCCACAAGCAACAGACAGGGCTGCGGACCTTCAGTCGTTGACTCGATGCTCGCCACGATTGCCTGTGCAATGCCTCAGCCGCAACGCAGACACCCGCAGATTCACGCGGGGGGGGGGGGGGGTGGAAGGGGTCCAGCCAAAGCCCATCATGCCTCACAAGTGGTTTACAAGTCAGGATCTCAGTGCCAAGCTGGGGTCCAGTCTGTCGGAGGTGGCGATCTCCTCCTAACAAAGCTAAGCGCAGGACACCTCTGGATCCATCTCGACGCGACCCTGAACCAAAACCTTATAAGACCCTGTCAAGGCCGTGTGAAGTCTACAAGACCCCTTTGCAGCCCTTTCAGACCCAAACCTCCCACCTCGCAGGGCATCAGCTCACGCACCCAGCCAGAGCACTTGAGGGTCTCATCGTCCTCCTGACAAGCTTCAGACTTTTCAGGTGAGATGGTTTAGGATTTGGGGACTACAGGGCCTGCACAGCTTATAGGGTGCATACGGCCTTTAGGGTGCCTTCTTTGGATTTACACGGCCTATGGGGCTTGCAAGTTCTTCTCTGCGTGCTGCACCCTAAACCCCAAACCCCTAAACCCTCGCAGCCCTTAAAACCCTCGCAGAAGAAATGACAGCTACAGACATCTGCTCCAACTAGTGCTGCCCCTGAACCTGTAGACGACGAGCTCCAGGGAATTGGACAGGATCCGTGGTCACCTCATATCCTGCCCAGGGTTTTCTGACTTCGGCTTGCAATCAAACACCGACTCTCGCACCTGCTCACTAAGCAACATGACTGCACGGCTCCCCTCAGCTCCCCCCCTTCCTTACTTCCTTGAAACACGAGTGTGAAACAATCCATAGCTCGTAGCTTTTTTCGGACCTTGACCTACCAGGACGGGCTATTATACCCCATAACCCCTCAAAAAGGCCCTTTATAGGGTTGATTATGGGGATCATAGGGCCCAATAACCCATCCTGGTACCTCCTCTAGATTTCGTGACTTGCTGAAGTTCAAGGCGAGCGTCTCGTGTCGGCCCAGGGAAGTGGCAGCATCACCATGCTTTGCCTTCAGTGAGGTGCTTGGGCAAGCAGATCGCCTCTATTTGGCCATGCTTGCGTTTTCCCTAGAAGAGGCGAGACCCCGCAAAGTAATTGCAAAAGAGTTTTCTTGAGTTCTTACTTTCAAGAAGGCCCTGCCGCCAAGCTGCATGATGTCGTTGTTCAGTGCGTCTGTCGCCCAGCACAGAACGTCGTAGGTTGAGTTCTCCCGCAAACTGCGTAGGATCAGGATGGGCGTGCTCTTCTACAAGGAGGGCCCCCCTTACTATACTAACTATAGTTAAAGGACATATAACCTAATTTAAGATCCGTATAACCCAACTTAGGGTCGTTATAACTCTACTTATAACTCGGGGGCCCCTCCTTGTACATGTACGATAGAGGTGAAAGGAACGTTGGACCAAGAAAGGGACTCTTTACCCTGTGTGTGATCCTGACAGCCGCCGAAACCCATAAATTTGCTTCATTGCCTGGTCCTTTCCTGATGGTGACTGAAGCTGAAAGACGTGTCATGTCTTCTATTTCACGGGTTCTACGGCTTGAACTCTGTGATCACACATTGAATCTGATGGTGAAAGAAGTGAATGGAATAGGCTGGAAAGTGCGGTCGAATGTTGACACAAGTTGACAGGAAGAAACCGAACAAAAGAACAGCGCCCTTAATGGTTTTCAGCGGGCACTTCACGGGCGTATCATTCTTCCTTCCTCTCCTCGCCCCGCTTACATCATTTCTAGGGGGACTCTACGGATGGAAAGATGAGCCTAAAGGCTTGAAAGCAAGATGCTGTTAGCGGGGAGTTCATGTGGAATCATGCCCAAAAGTACGCCACCAACTTTCTGGGAATCGTGGCCTCGGGATCGTCAGGTTCTGAGCTTGCGTTTGGCTGAAGTTGGCGTGAAATGGCAGGGCGAACAGGCGTTGCCACCAGCTCCTGCGCAGGAGCTTAATGGATCCACGTAGGCTGGTAAGGAATTCAGGAGGCCGGGATCGATTAGAGGTTTACGATCTTGGGGGGAGGGGGGGGGGTGCCTTCTTGGGATTCCTTATTATAATTAGGGGAAAACACATCAGGATGGCCGAAGAGCAGGATGGCCGGGGAACTTCGACGAAGACTCGGGATACCAACGGGCCGAGACGAAGTTCGACGAAGGCCGGGGGGCCGGGCCAAGGTTCGACGAAGGCCGGGAGGTTCGACGAAGGGGGAGGGGGTTCGACGAAGACCGATACAAAAGGCCAAGACAAAGCCCGAAAAAAAAACGCGAAGGTTCGACGAAGGCTAAATGAAGGCCGGAGGTTCGACGAAGGCCACAAGGGTCGGGAGGGGGTTCGACGAAGGCCAAGAGTTTCGACGAAGGCTAGGAGAGTTCGACGGCCTTTGCCGAAGGCTGTGTGCCATCCGCCCCCATACGCCGTCCTGATCGGTTTGCCCCTGATATAAGGGGGATCCTACTATTTTGGGGGGTCTATCTTATGGGCCCCTTGTTATGCTGAGGCTGAGATCCTTTCACTACCCCTGCGGCCGGACACCATGAATTCGCGTGTCAGATACCCTTGAACCTCAAGAAAGACCCAACTGTGCCGCACATTGCCCATCCAAGCCCATCCCTGCCCATCCCACCCCGGTCCAGCGCGCTGTTTGGATTAACTGCGCCCGAGAGCCATCAGCGAATGCATCCCATGCTTTAAGCCAGGTCGTGTTGTCCTTGGGCATCTGATCTCACTGCCGTCGGAGAACATGTAGGGGTTTGGGGCACAAGGTTCAAGGCTGTCTCTTCAACAACAGCATTGCTCAACAGGAAGCATAGAGAGAAGTGCTGAAATGTGAGTGTGTCAAGTTGGATCTCTAGATGGCAAGAAAGGCAGTCACATGGGGGTTTACGAAAATAGGGGACCCCCCAATATAGATCCCCAAATAGTAGGATCTCTATATAAAAGACCCCAATAAGGTACCTCCCCTAATATCGTAAACCCCCTAAACCCTAAACCCTAAACCCTAAACCCTAAACCCTAAACCCTAAACCCCCATATGCGGTGAGCCGAGCATCGTCGGAGAACTCCACGGTGATGTTGTTTGCCCCACAAGGGGAACCTGTGGTTTCCTCAGTGAACTCTGCAACTTGGGGGGGCTCAGCGTTTAGGGTTTTGGGGTTTAGGGTTTAGGGTTTGCTTAGGGCTGTAGGCGAGGGTTGAGGGCCTGAGTCTGCACTGTGTGCGATGGCACAGAATCTTCTGGGCTGGCGAGCTTCGTTTCCGGCATCACCATAGTCGAACTTGACCTCTGGCGGGCGTTTCTTCTGCAAGACAAGGCTGTAAGCAGCAGAAGGGACATGGAGAAAGCGGGTGTCATCATCCAGCCGCCAGTGGAAGTGAAGACTTTAAGCATCGCTGAATCTGTTTCTTCAAATACTTCAAATCCGAGAACAAAACACACACAATCGGAAGTAGGAAAAACACGGCCTGCGTGACCGTGGGAAGTGGCTCGCTGAAGATCTCTACCTGTCCACAGGGGTGCTGGTCGAGAACTTCTAGAACTTCTACCAGCCCGCTGCTCCGCATACCGCACGCAACTCCAGTCTGACCTTGATAGCTTGGGAGGACAATGGCTTGCTTCCATTGCTGCCGTAACCCCTGCCATTGAAGGGAGATGTAGCTTCACAGGAATTACCCAGGACAGGCATTGCGTTCCCTTTGCCGGCCGGCGGACAGACAGCCCGGTTCTGAACGGCTTATGCGCTGAAACACAGTGTGTGGCACGGTGCGGATTGGATCCGCCGGTCGGGCTATCTTCTACTTGCCCGTGATATAGTACCCAACGTTGCTCTTCAGACTTCAGTTGTGCGTGATTGATTCGACCGTTCCTGCAAGCAACCTGAATTGCTTCACAAATTGGGGTCGATATACAAAGAGCGGCGGTTGTCTCTTATCGCAGGGCCTGACCACATTAACACTCACACCGTCTCTGCACGCACACACACACACACACTCTCTCTTTCTTTCATTTTTTCTTGGGGGCAAGGGGGCAAGCCCCCGGGCGTCCTCGCCCTCGGGTTTAGGCAGGCTGGGAGAAGGACTTCGCCCCAAGACTTACTCTGTGGGGTCTTTCTTTCTTTCTAGGGGCTTGGGGCCGGAGCCCCGGGCATCTTTACTCTGTGGGGTCTCTCTAGGTCTCTCTCTCTCTCTCTCTGCTTCTTCGTTTTCGTCTCGTCCGCATTTCTTTCCCACCTCTGCTTTTGGGGTCTGAGCTTGGAAGCCAACTTGGCCCAAGCGCGGTGACAGCCGCAAGCCGCCTGAGGTCCTACTTCCAGGGTGCTTACCCCAAATCGGCACGGCCCCATGTTCAACACGTTCTCTGGCAGCGGGAAAGACGTCCCCGTGGCCTGTTTCGGAGACTCTGGGCCTGACATTTCGGCCCCACCTGGGAATTGCGCCGCTCCGGAGGGTGTTCTTCTCCAATCCAAAGACTCTGGCCTCTCTCTCTTTCTTTCTTTCTTGTTTTTTATTTTTGCTCGATTTCTTTGTTTCTTCTTCTGCTCGCTCTCTCTTTCTTTCTTTCTTGGGGCATGAGAGGCAAGCCCCCCGCGCTGTTCGCGCGCCCCCGCTTTGGGGTAGTCGGTGGAATGATGGAAGCTCGCTCGCTCGCTGGCTCGCTCGCTCTCTCTCTCTCTCTCTCCCTCTCCCTGTCCTGTCTCTCTTGCTGATTCAGTCGGCCTACCTCGCAAAGACGCAGGCGCTTGCCCTCTGGCTTGGCGACCACCCAAACCTAGCGCATGTCTCAACGACATCAGCAGACACAGAAGCCTGCTGCAGAAGGGAGCTATTGGCTCTATTCAATACCAACAGTGATACTCGAAATCGTGATAGCAAGAACAAGAGTAACAAGTGAATAGGAGTCAATAGTAGGAGTCGTCGTTGTAACAGTCGTATTACTCGTGGGTGTCCTCCTCCTCGTCCACCTCCCCATCATCATCCCAATCGCCACCATCATCATCATGACGACGACCACGACACAAAGGCTGAGAATGATAAGACCACGACGACGACGACGACGACGACGACGACGACGACGACGACGACGACGACGAACAACACGACCACGACCACGACCACGACCACGACCACGACCACGACCACGACCACGACCACGACCACGACCACGACCACGACCACGACCACGACCACGACCACCACCACGACCACGACGACCACGACGACGAAAAGTAGTAGTAAAAGTAGTAGTAACAATAGTAGTAAAAGTAGTAGTGAACGTAGTTGCGACAATGTTACTCCAATCATGCCCAAAACAGTATTTGCAGCACAGTAGCGGTGCTTCCTCGGCTTTCCTGCATCAGTAGGGCTAGGAACAGCTTGCTGCACGGATGGGCCATTGCTAGAGGCCGCCAACAGGTCATGAAACAGCACTGATTTCATGAAAGCAAGGGCAGTCCTGTATGCACGAAATGGGCACTGGCACATCGAAAGCATCCTGGCTGTCTCTTTGCACATTCCACCATGCTTCCTATATTTTCACAGACCAAGGAGGCCCCCCGGCCCGCCCCTCTAGCAGCCACATCGGGGCCGATTAATTTGAATCTGTATTTTGGGCACCTTATGCAAATCTATAGGGATTACAAGGCAAGCCTCAGATGAACAGAGGGAAGCCGGCCTACGACAGACTACAAATGGCTGATTGTCGACCCTCCTGTCACCAGCGCACAGACGGTAATGAGGCTCCTTCATGACGCCTATTGGAACATCCTGTGCGCAGAGAGTGCCGGCGACCAGGACGTCATCCAATGGCACATGCAGCACCACCTCGTACTCACACGTTGCGACCTGCACACTCAGGAGTGCATACAAAGCAAGTTCAGACCGGCCCGGGAAGTTTCAGGACATTGTGGGTTCACATGAAGATCACAAGGGAACCGCAACTGAGCATCGAGACTGTTGAAGAGCATGTTCGACTTCAAGCTCTAAGCAGCAGTCCACTCTGCACTGCTACAGCAGAGAATCCATGAACCACCGCCATGATACTCTTCACGACGATCGCAGAACATGTCCTAAAGCCCCCTAAATCATGCCCCGAAGTTCGGATCACCTCGCCGACGGTCACCACAAGGGAGCTCAGGCTGGCGTCGATCTCGGTGCGGAGGGTGGCGTGGCGCTGTCCGGAGTTGCAGCTGACGCCTTGCACCTCAGGATGCCACAAGGGGGCTGCAAGAAACAGAGAGAAGGAGATTCGTGATCTGGATGGTAGAAACTGATATTGGGTATAGGCAGACTTTTGGGGTTTTGGGGGCTTATTAGCGTCTGAGAGGTATGTGGAGAGAAAGCACCATTTACAGCCTTGAGTGCTGCTCTGAAACGATTCCGGGCACAATTTTTCAAATTTCCACGACATCTCGTGGCAGCCTGCAATTAGGGGTACCAACCTTTAGGAGTGGGGGGCAGACCCGGCCGAGCGTCATAAGACTGCATGTTGTCCGTAGTGGAAGCGTAAGTTCCGATCAAGAAGTAGTTGGCAGAGGCTGTTGGTGCGAAGCCAGTGGCATCACATGCGGCCACGGATGAGAGCTTATCTTCCTGGAGACTTCAGGGGTGGGAAGTTGCGAGCAACTTGCTGCAAGCAGTGGCAATTCATGATACCACTCTGCTCACCTTTGATCTCACAACCAAACGAGCGCACACGGCTCGGTCCTCTACCATCTGGCCAACAGAGACCTTGTAGCAGTACTGAGTCGTTGCGTTGTAGACGTAGAAGGTCTGGCCATTGTAGTCATCCACATTGACGACCGTCCCCACCTCCTGCTGCGTGCCTCGCACTTGGCCGTGTGAGACTTCGCAAGAAAGAGTTGTGAAAGCCAGTAGTGCAGGCGAATCATGCCATCTGAACAGATGCTGCAAAAACACGTCCGTTCAACAATATACTGCTGGATGCACATCTGTGAGGTATAAGCCTGGCTGCCTAAAGCGGCTTACGCAATTCTTGCGAGGTGGAGAAGTGGCTTGTTCCTGCCAAGCTGCTTTTCGAGACATACACGTCTGCCTGTCGAGTTCAGGACATCACAATGAAAGAGCGTTCCTACCCCTACGCTTATTCTGCTGTGCTGTCTTAACAATATTGTATGCAACGCATGCTTGGTCCTACGCTGTGGTCCTACACCCTACCATGCCGTACCATACCATACCCACAATACCGGGCTCGACTAGCATACTACTGCATCCGGACGCTGCACGGTTCTTGCATGCCAAGCCGCCATAGTGGCCACCCCCAGTCCCGGGAGCCCTGCCAGCCAAATGCCCTGCCTGCGGGGGTTCGGGGTTGAGGGTCTTAGGGTTAAGGGTTCTTTTTTTTGGGGAGGGGGGGGGGGGGGGGGGGGGGTTGGGGCTTTAAGGTTTCGGCTCGTTCGTCCATAGTCATAGCTTGCCGTGTGGGTTGTGTCAAATAATTACCCTGCAAAAAGTCGTGCTCCGCAAAAAGGGGAAAGTTTCGGATGCTTCATGAGGCAAGCTGCACTAGCTGCGTCCGCTCCAGACTCATCCGCCACCAAGGCCTTTGGGGCAAGACATCTCTGTTCATACGAAACACAAACTTCGGGCGTTTAGGGTTTAGGGTTTAGGGTTTGGGGTTTAGGGATACTCGATCAGTACAAGATACACTCCTGCGGGCCACGCGTGAAGACAGCAGCTGTTTTGCCAAGAAATCGCCGCGCCCACACAAGAGATTCCACTTCCATTTGCCCCCTCATCAGCTCTCTACCGACCATCTATCAGACCTGCCTTCTGTCGGTAACCATCGTGCCTTCGCCACCTGTCTCCATACAGGTCGTCCTTAAGCAGCGCTGGACAAATTCTCACCATGCTTGCTCAAGGAGAAGCATCCTGAAGCGGGTTGACGAGGCTAACTCCGCTTCTTCTTAGCTGGCACAATACTGGGGGAGAACCCAGCATCAACGATTCTTGCCAAGGATCTCGTCTGTGTCTGCCATGTACCTTCAGGCCCACTCAGAAGAAAAGTAAACTTCCAGCAGCCCAATAAGGAAAAGCACATGCCTGGGAGCCTTGAACCTACCGCTCCTGAGATCAGGGATTCACATGAGCTACCCGGCAGAGCCTCTCGACTCAAAGGCAAAGTAGAAGCCCGAACTATGCCAAACCCCGGTGTGTGTAGGGTCCAGGGACCACATTCGCTGTTCTGACGAGCCATAGCGAGCCGAGCTCTGCCAATTCCGCAGGTTGTCGACCAGGGTTCGGAATTTCCGGTGGCAGCCAGTGGTCCGGACACCTGAACTACTCTTGAGAAGCCCATTGTTGCATTCTCGCAGATGAGCCCAGATGTTCCATACATTTCCATGGTCCATGTTCATCACACGGATTCTTGCAATGCGGGTCATGGCGCATGAGACTGCCATCTTCCTGAACCTGCCTATCATGCAGCTAAGCTTCGGAGGCCGGTGATGATGGTGCTGTTATGCTCATCAGCAGGTAGCAGCGCGCTATACTCCATGTCCTGTGGCAAGATTCGATGCCAACTTTGTAGCTGAGTTTGCAAGAGCTGCCCTTGAGGCTTCAGCAGCCCCTGACCCGTGTCATTCAACAGAAACCCCGAGCCCCGAGCCCTACATCTGAGACCTTGGATTGAAGCTCCCTTGCCAGCCTCGCCACAAAGCCGCACCGTAGCTGTGAGTTGAATGTCTGCCCAGGGTGTGGACGCGGTGGAACGCCTGTAGACCTGGCAGGTGCAAGGGGGCTATGATGGCTCCATAGTTGGAATGCAGCCTGTCTTTGGGCTTATGTGCTCCACATTTCGCGGCTTTAGAGGTCTAGTGCGGATTCATTGCGGAAGGGCGATGGTTGGGGCGACGGGCGGGTGTATGGTGCGGGGATGAGGGTAGAGGCACTGGAGGGGCAGGGTTTGGCAGCTACAAGCCTTTCAGGCCTGAAAACAGCCCAACTCAAAAGCAACATGTCCTGCTCCACACAAGTCGTGGCCCGACAAAGTTTGCCGCTTTGAAAACGTCACTGGCAGCTTCCGGCTTCGCACATATCACGGTCCAAAGGCATTCTCAAGAGAGGAAACGAGTGCCGGGATCAGAGACGAACACAAAATAAAAAATGCCAAAATGGCATGTCTCACTCACCTCAAAGCCTCGTAGCTGTGCAAAGAAATTGAGAACAAACAAGTTTGGGCGGTCGCAACGTACGATTACACTCTGAACTCGAAGGGTTCGGAAGTAGACGTCGGGAGACGTCGGGCTCCGCTGACAGAAGCCGCCGATTCTCCGAAAAGCCACGTGCCACGCGCGCGTTCGTCCACCAAGTGTCCACCAAGTGCTCGCGCTCTTCACAGTGGGGGAGGGAGGAGGTTCACAGTTCCATTAATTTGCCCTAAGTTTTAAGCCTTAAACCCTAAACCCTAACCCTAAACCCTAAACCCTAAACCCTAAACCCTAAACCCTAAACCCTAAACCCTAAACCCTAAACCCTAAACCCTAAACCCTAAACCCTAAACCCCTCTTGAAGGCATGGCTGCCGGCAAAATCGGGCGCTGGGCCTGCACGTCATATAGCCCCGTCAACGCAAGCACAAACATCGTGCTCAGAATCGGCGCAGGGCAGTTGTCTCCTGCAGGGTTTAGGGTTTAGGGTTTAGGGTTTAGGGTTTAGGGTTTAGGGTTTAGGGTTTAGGGTTTAGGGTTTAGGGTTTAGGGTTTAGGGTTTAGGGTTTAGGGTTTAGGGTTTAGGGTTTAGGGTTTAGGGTTGAGCTTTCTGACGCAAACTGCAAACGGCAAATGCCTTTACGGTATCTTACGGTGTCTGAGTTGAGTGCGGGAAACATCTGCCATGCAACTATTTTGTTCTATGCTTTGCAATGTGGTGCAGGTCCCTGTGACCGAAACAAACGCAAATTTCACGTGCACTAGGGCACCTTCCGCAGATTTCCACAGCACGGCTTTGCGGGGCTACTCTGGCTTCCTGTTTAAAGAACTACCCTGCTAAGGGAGTTCAGGGGTACTGTAGGGGCTACTAGGCATCTAGGCACTGTTTCAGGTAGATGTGGGGAAAAGATGGGGTTGTATAGGGGAATAAGGTTGTAGGGGTCCCTCCATCCCTTAATCCTGAGAACTGGAGCTGTCCTGGGTTGCACTGGACGGCGTAGACACCGTAGTCGCTGACAGTGTAGTACTCCCCGTCGGTGAGGTTGTTCTCCAAATACTCAGCTCCTGTGAACAGATGGTTTGGCCAACAATGAATTGACAATAAACCTTCAACCCTAACTTAATGTTGAGTGACATGGTCGCTTTAGAAGTTCGGCCCTCTCGGCGGACAGTATCGCAGGGATGACGCGCGGATCGAACTCATCGACCGTTTACCGATCGAACCCATCTTGCTCAGCCCTCTTGATGCAACCACATGGATACATCAATCTTCCCACCCAAGCATGCTGTATGTCATTCCAACTGACCCAAAGCCTTTGCTATCTTGCTACACATGGTTAGCGCAGGTCCTGGACCAATCACCGCAAGGTCCAAGTCATTCACGTTGCCTGCCCGTAACGACAGCATCGCAATAGTATCATATATATATATACATATATATATATAATGTGTGTGTGCAAGACGAGGAGTGCCTGCCTTATGAATAAGTGTCACAGTTTTGGCAGGCGGGCTCTGGCAGAATCCACTAAGAATCCCGAATCTGCAAAGCACTGCGGCGTGCACGAAACATCATGGACATGAAGTACTAAGACGGGCTATTCTACCCTATAGCCCCTTTAAAAAGGGCCGTTTTTTGGGTTGATTATAGGGATTCTAGGGCTATTATACCACATAACTCATTAAAAAGGCCCTTTATTTGGGTTGGTTATGGGGATTAGAGGGCCCTAGTAGCCCATCCTGGTTGTCCCCTTCCGAGCCTGTCCAGCGAATCGACACTGCCAGGTCTCCATCGAAGAGGAAACCCTGTGTCACCGTTGCAGGGTCGTGCTCAGGAGCATGCGCTACCCAATGAGAGAGACAGATAGATAGATAAATGGATAGATATATATATATATAGATATATAGATATATAGATATATAGATATATAGATATATAGATATATAGATATGTATGCACATATATATATATATATATAGATATTATGTATGTACACACATTGCATATGCATTTTGTACATGGCCCTATTGTCCAGGACTTCGAAGCCCGAACCGAACCGGACCCCCCCCCCCCATGCGCCTGTTGCAGAACGCGGGACTCGGGCTCGGTCTTGTGCTGCAGGTCGATGCCAACCTATGACTCTGGGCGCTGGGGCCGGTCACTTTGTACCGCTGTTCGTAGCTGTAGATCTATGTGGATGTAGATGTTGGCGCTACAGTATATGTATATATATATATACCACAGTGCGATAGAAGTAGCGGCGTCTGGCAGTGTCCTGCCCCCTTCCGTCAATGACATGCATGCGTCCTGTTTCACACGCATGTCCCGGACTTGAGATGGAGACCTTCTTGTTATTCGTAGTGCCAGCTGTGATTTCGGGCTGGGCCGCCGTTAGTGCTGCAAGAACCCTCTGGGTTCAGAAGCATTGTTGTGCCAATGATCTGCAGTGCAGCAACAGCCGCGGTTTCAAAAAGATGATTCGCAGCTTTCTCGGTGGCAACTTCGGAAGCGATATCGTCATCTATGCTATCTCAATGTCCCAAGTAGCAGAGAGTGTGAACCCTTCTTTGCCGAATGTGCCCCACACCATTGGAGACATCAACAAAGATGAAAGGAGGGAGGGGGGCACTAAAAACTCTCCTCTTCAGGATTTAGAGACTAAGGTTTGGGATCCTCCAACTTTAGGGCTGCTTGGCTAATATGTCAAAACGGAAGGGGTGGGGGTAGTGTATGTACGGGGGGGGGGGGGGTTAGCATATGTACATATGTGTGCGAAGAGGTGTACATATGTATGAATGAACATAAACATTAATATCCTCTACCATAAACCTAGATGACTGTGCATCTGTGTCGGCATGAACATAAGAAAACAGTGCGTACTAAGAAAAAACTCTAGGGCCACTATGTCCTGTGCAGCTCTTTTGACATAAGAGGCGTGTGACAGCGGCGTGTGCTTAGAGGTGCAGGACTATGCAAGTGAGCCACCCAAGCATCTTCCATTGGCAAGGACCACTGCGCGATCTCGATGATGTCGACGATGCCGTCCGAGTCCGCGTCCAGCCCAATCCTCGAGTGGATTCAGGGCTTGGCACTCATCAGCAGCTCTCACTGCTGCCGCTACCCAGCTCCTCATCGAAAATGATTCTATGATGTGCAACGGCGACGGCGTGATCGTGCACTGATTGGGCTGAACTGGCAGCTGCGGGGCTGATCTTGCGGGTATGTTGGATCCGATCCAAACATGGCATTCTTGAAGGTCTCTCCACCTGGCGAGTGCCGGGCACCTCTCTCAAATCCGAATGTCCGCTCCCTGTCGCAATGGAATGGTCAATGGGGCCCCCCACGTACTGCCCCGTGGTGCGTCAATTCTGAAGCATGCAGCAGGCCAAGTCCCCAGCTGTACGACTTTATAGAACTGAAGCCATTAGTGTGAACCCAAAACCGACCCCAAAAGTCCCAAACTTGTCCTGATCCCCACGAAAAGCCGATACCTAGAAGCCTCTAACACTAACGCGCCCTAGAGCTCTGAACCCCTAGACGCGTACAGCCTTCGTAGAGCCCCAAACCGCAAACGCTCGTGCCTAAACCCCAATACATACCTGGACCCCAGAGTCATTACTCACAATCACGCGCTGTTACTATTCTTTGTGGCCAGGTAAGCTAATTCAGGCCAGGCCGCCCCAAGACTGGAGCTCGGCAGTACGGAGGAGGATTCGGTCGGCGCATTCTCGGTCGAGGTTCGTGTACCTATTCGTGGGTTTAGGGGTTGATCCCTGTTTGAGGACGTAGGGCGTACAGGACCTCCGAATCCTGGATGCCTTTGACTACGCCCCCTCGGAAAAGCATGAGCAGATTCAGCAGACATGTGTCTTTAAAGCAATCCAGGGTTCAGGCGCAGATCCTGACTAAGCCGGCGATCCACTGTAGCGGCTGCCACAGTTTGTAGCTTACTGATCTCTAGGACTCTCGTGGCTTGAATTTGGCATGTTCTGTCCCGGGAGGTGTATTCCGTATTGTGGTCCCTTGGTGTACCCGAAGTATAAGGGGGGAACCCCCCGCCCCCCCGCCCGACAGAAACAAAAAAGAGGATCAACCCTAAACCCTAAACCCCAAACCCTAAACCCTAAACCTGGCCCTAAAGCCCGATGGCCATGCCTGGTGTCGAAGCGCAGTCGCCAGAACCGATGCTCAAAGTACTGGTCGTGCTCCTGGGAATGCCGAAGTCTTGAAGCATTTGGGGATATACGATACATAATAATAATGACGATGATAATAATGATAAGTAATGATGATAATGATAATGATGATAATGATGATAATGATGATAATGATGATAATGATGATAATGATGATAATGATGATAATGATGATAATGATGATAATGATGATAATGATGATAATGATGATAATGATGATAATGATGATAATGATGATAATGATGATAATGATGATAATGATAATGATAATAATAGTGATAATAATAATAATAATAATGATGATGATAATGATCATAGTAGTAATAAGGGTCCCCGCAAATAGACCCCCAAAAAAGGAAGATCCCCTCATAGTAGGGACCCCAAAAGGGTACCCCTAATATCGTTAACACCCGTTTGACGCACCGGGCTCACCAGGGCTCATGCGCTTCATCGCGGTTGCACTAGTGCAGGTTGTAGTGGGCCGTTGCTAAGAAGAGCTACTTCAAAGAGTCGGTGACAGTCGGACCGAGGAGCTGCCCGGCAGAGAAGATACCACACAGCTACGCTCTGAGGGCTTCGGAAGTGTGCTCCAGAACGCAGCCCGCAGCCCCATGCTACATAGGAACACCTACTGCAAGGCCACCCAAACTTTCGGCCCCCCCCCCCCCCCCCCCGCTGGACTTTGCCTGCAGGGTGCGATCTGATTCAGCCCTACACGGCAAGAAACGCCCTGAGAAGGAACGGCAAGCCCCCAAGCCCGGCCTGCGGCGCCTTGCCCTCCTGCCCATGAGTGTGGAGGATTAAGGGCCGATGGGTTTTAGGGTTTAGGGCAGGTTCCGAGGGTTTAGGGGAAACCACTTCCGAAACCGTAAGTCGGTATTTATGAAGAGTTTCACACCACTCCCCTCTCGATGCCAAAGTTTCAGAATTCCAATACACGCTACGACCTCTTTTGGGATGTGCCGGTGCGGCAGGAGCCAGCTTTCCTGCAGCGTTTCTCACGAGGTTCATCCCGAACCCCCGAACTCCAACGTTGCAGATTCGATCCTCCAATGTCAGCCGAAGAGCCTTGTCCAGCCTAAGCACCTACACTGGACCTACACACCAGGAGCCCAATGGTAAACCCAAGCCATCCCCCCAGACAACCCAGCCTGAGTGGTGGCCATGCAGCGCGCCATGGCAGGATAGCTTTGCCCGGGATCGTCCAAGCCTGAGCGCGGCCAGCGAGTCAGCTGGTGAGAACGTATGGCCATGTGCAGATGAGGGTTCACGATTCTGAAGGTTTTTCGGGGGGAGGAGGGGGGAGGGGGCGGGGGGGGGGGGGGGGGGATCTTGCTGGGACCCGGACTCCGACTTTACAGCAATCAGGGGGCGGCCCTTTTTCAGGGTACTGGGATCCTGGGGGGCTATTCTACCCGTAACCCCCCTTACAAGCCCTTTATAGGGTGTGATTATGGAGATTATGTAGGGCCTAAACCCTAAACCCGAAAACCCTAATAGCCCAGCCTGGGCGGGGGGGGGCTGAGGGATGCCGAGCTCCACGGCGCACTTCCACAGTGATTGGACAGGGTCGCTAGCGTAGATGTGTTGGAATCCTACCTTTGGGGCCGTGGGTTGTCCTCGGTCGGCCCAGTGTTTTTTTTATTATTGTAAACGGGGTTCAGGTTTAGGGTAGGAAAAAAAGAGTTCATGATGCCACACATAACCTCGTTTTAGGACCCTTGTCCCCACTTTCAAAAAAATTCCTGCAGAAACAACTACCCAAGTACCACCCAACGAAACCGTTACCAAGGACTACGGCCGAAACCCCAATCTCCAGTAACACACGAAAACCCAACACCGATCGCCACCAATGTTGGACCCTCTGGTTGCGGGCGCCGGAGCCGCCTCTACTACCTAAGACAAGAGCCGAAAACTTGAAGCATCGGACCTAGTAACAAGTCTGATTGCGGATTCCGGGAAGAGTGCCGTAAACAATGCGGATGGTGTGCGCTACCGGCGTGACAGCAATTGGCAGTGGTGAGGAGGAACGTGCCGGGTCGGACCCCCCCCTGGCTGTACGTTGGTTGCAAATGCATTCTCTCCAAAAAAACAGAAACACGCAAGGTGGGTTGTGCCGTCACCTATGGGGGCTTGCCAAGATGGTGGACCCCCAAGCTAGTTCACCAATAGTGGATTCCCGTTATGGAAATCAGGACCCCAACATGGTTTTAGCCATACAGTCGGAATTAGCCCCTGTGAGTCTTGGACCATGTGTTCGAAGGGGCCTGCTTCAGAGGACTGATTGAGGTGGCATGCACGAGGCGAGAGGCAAACTGCAACCAAAACAAGCCCTCTCCGCTGTGCGCCTCACGCCGCATTATCGCTTCTAGGATCTGGTTCGAGTATTTGCATAAACACCGGCAGACAGGCACAATATCCCCACATGGCAAATTTTGCATTGGTAGCAAGCACACGCGATCTGTAGTCACGAAAACTTCAGCACAGCTTTGTATGTCGCAGGGGCCTCGTCTAAGCGTGGCGATTCGGTTTTCTGAATGCCCACAACTCTTGCCAATTAGGTGAAATGTTTCGTGGTTTTTTTGGCAGTTTCCTGAGAGCGGTGGGGAGGCCTCCGTGCGAGTTGGGGGTGGGGAGTGGTGGGAGGGGGCATGGTTCTTGCCCCTTTGAGTGTGCAGAAACAATAGGAGTTCGAGCTGACCTCAGCATCGGCTGTGATTTATTTCTGAAGGCCATACAGCAACCATTTACAGATAGTCTTGGTTTCTCTCCAGGGGCTAGTATGTGTCAGGTTGCTAACACACCCCATGTCCAGAACGCAATCGTGCCGATCTTGTGCCAGATCAAAATGGCATTTTACGAGGCCTGTAAAACAAGGAACCACGGTCTTTAGTGTTTCTACGACCCGTCCTACAGCTCTCCCTTTGCAACGGGCTGCAAGAATCAACCTTCCGGTGTTTTTTGGTTTTTTTCACAAGGAATGCCCCCTTTGATATTCTCTTACGACTTGCTGAAGATACCCCCTCCAAAAATACCAAAAAAAACCCATATAAATCCAAAATTGCCTTACAGGAAAATTGTGGGTTGTTGTGTGGGGTTTCGGGGGTGGGGGCCGTTTAAGCAACTCCCCCAGTAGCATTCTGGGTCTGTTTTTTTACCGAGTCTCCCGCAGGTCGGCCTCCAGCGGGTGTCGAAGGCCTCTGGTAGGCTTCGATCCATCTCGCAGATGCGGAGGGCCGAAAGCGCTCCGGCGGTCCCGGAGCTTGTCACCGAGCCCCAGACCGCCTGACGAAGTGCCTGGATGGCCCCTCAGTCAGATGGCGGGTTTGGATTCACAATAGGGGCCACCGCTAAGTTTAGACCCCAAATCAAGTAGGTCCTACTCGATAACAGGCACCCCAGTAAGGGCCCCCTGAATTTCGTAAACCAACAAATGTTGGGGCTCAACCTCGGGTGGGACACCCCACTGCAAACTCGGACGACGACTTGAAGCCAAGGGAATGCCAGGGACGGACCTGCTAGAAGCGGCTTCATACCATGTTAGGCGTCATTAGGCAGAGGTGCTGTGCTGCAAGGCCAACATGTCGCCGCGGGCATCGCCCCAATGGACCATGGCCTGGCTGGCAAAACCGAAACGGGGCGTGAAAGGCAGAAGAGGGGCGCACAGTTAACGAGCTGATGGGAGAAGGGGGATTTAGGGTTTAGGGTCCCCTGGGGGATTCGCAATGTTTAGTGATAGTTGTTTGCAAAGTTCCAACGAAGACCACTTCCGGCCCCAGCACAGCTTGCGGATGACCATGCTGTCTGTAAGTGGGCGAACGCTGCAGCTATTGCAAAGGGTATTCCTCGAACGCGGCCTCCGGTCCCCCGACCCGATCGGCTTGGCTTGGAAGCAGGGAAACAAGGACCAGAAGAGCACCCGAGAACACGGAAGTAGGGGACATTGGCTTCAGGGACAAGATTGCGATTCTCAGAAAAAGGCGGGAGGATACCACGGAGCGTTAGCTGTGTGCACAAGTTCGCGTTCTTTCTGACTTCACACAATTCTGCACCTTTCCCCCTGAATAGATGAGCCGCTTTTCACCGCCACTTCAAAAACTACCAAAAAAAGTTGGATGCCAGGACACGCAAATAGGACAATCGCAGGGGACCTTGCTTTCGGGTGAGGCAATCGTGTGGGGACCACCAATACTTAAGCACGTGCGGGATTTTGTTTTGGGTTTTGGTGGCCAGTTTATACCTGAATCGCCCTGAGGGCGAGTGTCGGCTGGCCGCTCTGTGCGGTAGAGGAGGATCGCGAGCGCGATACGGAAAGAAAAGGAGCATTCAGGTTGTCTTACGCCACACGGGTCGAAAAGGGTGGCCACTGCAACGCACACGTGAGCTCAGCACATTGTAGATCCCGAGAATTGTCGTGGTCTGCTCTGCTCAGAAGCCGTGCTCTGGGCTTGTCGTGAGCTTGGAAAGCAAAGCTGGAGTGGGTCGATGAACCGCTATTTTTACTTCAAAAGGTTCTTATGTGTCTTATGGGCCAGGAGTTGGCCTATAAACCCCCAAGGATCAACCCTATTTAAAGGCCTATTTGTTAGGGGTTGTCCGGGTAGATAGGCCCGGTATCCACACAGTCAAACACTCGAAAGGGCCATTTTTAAGGGGGGTTGTATGGGGTATAACTTGCCCTAGAATCCCACCCCGTAGCGCAAACCCATATATTTTTTCAGGGCCTTCTGAAGTTAAGGGTTTTACGGTACAACCCACCACGATTTGTAGGCCTGGCCGCCGGCTGCTGCCGCCAGGCACAGACACTTGGATAGGGTCCACTCTTCCTCACCGGCTGCCAGATTGTGTGGCCGTTCGGCGAAGCCAGTTAGTTGTGTGTGCCGAACTAAACTCCAGGAGTCACCTGGTGAATTACAAACAGGGGTGACCCCTTTTTTTTTTAGGTTAAGAGGATGTTTTTATTGACGGGAACCCTCCTACTCCCAAACAAGGAAAAAGGGCTTTTACCTATCCATCCGGGTCCTAGAGAATTCATAGGACCATCATGGACCACGGTGTATACGGCGCACATCATATCAGAAGGTTGTCCCCCCCCAATATCCATCAACGGCCTAGAAAATCTCTTGGATTTCTGGCAATTTCGGGGAAGTTTTTTCCAGTCGCAACATACCTTGCAAGTTTTCCCCACAATTCCCACCTTCCTCCGCTTTTCCTTGCTATCCTTCATACCGCTTTCCCCCCGCACATTCCGATGTTCTCGGCCCTTTAGGTTTGGGCCGTACCTAAACACAAGTATGTGGGCCCCAGTACTGATTCTCCGCTCTCCTTGATATCCCGGAATAGATGTGACCCGCCTTTTCCGGCCACCCCATTGGACACGTGCTTCGAGGAAGCGCGATGCGTTTTCGTGACGGGCCCCCTTAGCAGTTGCCCGGCTGGAAGGATAATCTCGAGGTTTCGTTTGAAATGTGTGTAAGATTCTTGAGCAGTTCACCCGACCTGGTGACGCCACCCAGCTACAGATATCTTAAGGTGGCTTGCTCGGGGCAAACGTATACCTCCGCAAGACGTTCGCGACCCAGTGGGACCTGGAAATCTGATAAGTTGCGTGACAGATTGCCATTCCGGTCTACAGGATCATCATGCCCACCAAAGTGCATTCTTAAGAGGGGGGAGCTAGCATACCGTAATATCACCCTATAACCTCGAAAAACCAGGTCCCTTTTATCACGGGTGGATAAGGGGACTTTATATGATTTTAGGGTCCCTAAAAAAGACCCCATCCTGGTTCTTAAAGGGGAGCCTTTTCTGCTCTGCTGGATCCCCGGGCTTCTGCCTTGCTGGGGCAGAAGGCATATAGGCCTTGAGGTTTAAAATCAGGTTATGGTCCCACCTGGTAGGCGCCCCACAATTTTCTTGGCACGGCACGGGGTACCCCACCTCAGATTTAGTACAGTTATTCGTTTGGCCTGTCCTGAGCTCTTTGACCTTGGCGGTGCAAAGGCAATTTGGGCTCTTCAAGCAAGCTGTTGCTTTGGTGCTATTCCAGTGTGCGCTCTCGATAACGCTATCAAGACAGACATATGAAATTTCTACATCTACACAACTGTTTTCAGATTGTTCTCCTTTCAATTTCATGAAATTGAAGGGGCAAATGTGACCGGTGACAGCCTGCACC